GTTCGTCAACCGACGCCACTCCTCTTGGGACGATCCCCGACTCTCACCACACACTCCTCTCGGTGTACAAGTGTATTACAAAGTGTATCCTCACAATTAGGCTTAATATAATAAATGTTTGTTCTCTACTATGGATGAGAACACAATGAAAGCTCACACTTAATTGTTACAACTCTCACCAACCCAAATATACTATGTATGAAAATACAATAAGCTCAATATGTGTGTGTGTAACAATGAGATAATATAATCAAATCTAAACTCAATATAAAAACTAGCTTTAAAGAAAGATAATCAAATAACTAAGCAAATGTAAAGCTAGATAAGAGTTTAGAAAACTTCTCAATAGATCAAGAGGTGGAGGGAGAATAGTTGGAAGCTCAAACTTCAATAGATGATCTCCTCAAGCTCTTGTGGAATTTTCTTCACAAACAAACTCTTGAAACAAACTTAAAAACCCTTCAACAAACTTGTAAAACTCTTTTTAAAACTCTCTTAAACATCCATAAGAAACAATTAAAGTTGAGGGCTTTTTATAGCCTCTTAAACCAGCCACAAACTCCCAAAAACCGAAAATATCAAAAACTAGCCGTTACTAGCCGTTATAGGCTGAAAAGACCAAAATACCCCTAAATTCAGCATTCTGGAAATTTACGTATCTGGTTTTGTAAAATCAATTAAAAATATTAAATCAACTCCAAAAATTATGAAACTTTGAGGAAAGCTTCTAAACATGTAGAAGAATATTTTAGAGAAAAATTTCTGAAAAATCTTTTTTTATTTGAGATAAATAAATGTTTGAACACAGATATACAGTTTCTAAAAATCTGCTAACATACACGATTTTGTAAAATCAATTGGGCACAGTAAATCAACTCCAAAAATGGTAAAATTTTGAGAAAAGTTTCTAAACATATAGATAAACATTTCAAAGAAATAATTTATTAAATATCACTTCCCATTTGTGAAAACGCATCTGTTTTGTAAAAACATGCACGAACATGCACGAACGAAAAACATGATTTTGTAAATTCAATTAAACATAACAAATCAATTTCAAACTTGATGAAACTTTGGGAAATGTTTGAAAATGTGATTTTGAACATGTTACAAAAAAGAATTTTCCAATTTGCATTTCCCAATTGTGGAATCTCATTATTTTACAAAATCACACAAGTATGGACTTGTAAAAGCTTGATCTTGACAAAATGAGTTTAAACAAAGTTTTGAAAACTTTCCAATAGATTTATAAACTTGATAAAAGATATAAAATAATATCGTTAAGTCTATAATCCAAAACGACGATAAACCAAACCAAACGTGTGTGTGTGTGTGATATTGAGCTTGAAGTATTAACACACATAATATAAGCCCTAAAGTAATTTACCCAAGCAATCTTGATCTTCAATAAGCTTGACTTGGTACACTCTGCGGATGAAGCTTGAACTTGGATCTTCAACTTGAATTGCATAGGCTTCAACCACTATTCCGCCAACCTCCATTGGATATCATTGTTGAAGCTCTATTCCATCCATCCTCCAACTCGTTGTTTGTCTATAATAAATAAGAAAGCACAAATACTAGACAAACAACATTAGTGATAAATTGTTTGTTAAACATCATCAAAACAAGAAGGCCAACAGGAGCCTGCTGGGGGGAGTTGGATTAGGCCGCATTGGGTTGGAGTGGCCATTGTACCTGCTGTGTTGTGGCCCGCTGAATGAGAGGAGATGCAGGAGATGGGACTGCTGAAGGGGAGCCTGGCAGAGGTGCAGTTTGGCGTGGAGAAAGGAGTGCAGGGGGGGTGGATTGGGTCTGTGACTGTGGGCCAGACTCATTAGTTTGCTGGGAAGGAGAGTTTGGCTTAGTTGGTGGACCAGAAAGGTGATGATGATGTCGAATATATAGAGAAAAATCATTTAGGAAATCATAAGAAGTAGGAGATGCTTTGTGATTTTTTGTGAAGGGAAATTGTGTTTCATCAAAGATAACATGTCCGGAAATAATGATTTTTCTGCTCGATAAGTCATAGCATTTGTAGCCTTTATGGTTGGAGGGATAGCCCAAGAAGATACATGGTGTCGAACGTTCTTGAAGTTTATTGATAGTGGTTGAAGGGAAGAGAGGGAAGCATAGGCATCCAAAAACACGTAAGTGAGAGTATTCGGGATTTTTCTTGTAAAGAACTTGAGTCAGAGAAAGAAACCCTAGGACTTTGGTGGGAAGGATGTTTAATAAATAGGTTGTCATGGCTAAGGCATGGTGCCAAAAGGTATGTGGTACCGAAGAATGGGCAAGCAAGGTACGGGTAATATTATTTATAGTTTTGATTTTCTGTTCAGCTTTTCCATTTTGAGGAGATGTGTGTGGACAAGAGAAACGGAAGTGCAAGCCATTTTGTTCACAGAATTTTTGAAATGGGCCATTGTCATATTCACGACCATTGTCACATTGGAAATTTTTAATTTCCCTTTCGAATTGTGTTTTAATGTATGCTCTAAAAGACAGAAATATGGAATAGACTTGGGATTTTTGGGAGATGGGGAAGGTCCATAAGAAGTTAGAATAATCATCTAGAAATAGAGCATAATAACGATGGCCTGATGAACTTAAAGTAGGCGGTGTCCACAAATCACTGTGAACAATGTCAAACGGCATAGAAGTAGTAGTCATAGAGTTATAGAAAGGTAACTTAATTAATTTCCCAAGAGGACAAGCATAACAAAAAGTCTGGGATTTATTACAAGAAATAAAATTGTCTTTACGAAGAGAGTCCAAAACAACATTTCCCGGGTGCCCTAAACGGGAGTGCCATAAATCCAAAGATAAAGCAGTAAAACCAGACTTAGAAATTGATGGTTGGAGTGTCCAATATTTGGTGGTGAAGGGGTAAAGATCGCCTGAGCTCTCACATCTCAGGAGGCGTTTCCCCGTCTTGAAATCCTTCACAGAAAAGTCAAAAGGGTCAAATTCAACGGAAACAGAATTATCAGATGTAAATTTTCGTACTGAAATAAGATTTTTGATAAGTTTAGGGGCATGTAGCACATTATGTAAAGCCAGAGGTGGTTTGGTGTGGGGAAGGGAAGTATTACCATAACCATGAATCGGAATTGTGTTGCCATTGCCGACAATGATACCATTGTTTTTGCTCAAATTAAAATAAGACGAGAGAGTACCTGAATTCGCGATCATGTGTGAGGTTGCACCCGTGTCCATGTACCAATTATCATCGGGTTGATTGAGCGATAAGGTATGCATTGCACTTTCAATGTTGGTAGGGGCATAACCCGTGCTAGGAGTGGATTGGGCCGAGTAGAAAGCCTAAGGAGGACATCGCCCAAGCAGCCCCTGCTGGTTCGGGGAAGGACGGGGCTACCACTGGACTGTTGGGTGAGGACAAGGCGGTGTGGCCCACTGTTGCTGGTAGGCCCAAGGCTGATAGGTACAAAAAGGTGGAGAAATCCAAGGCTACTGGGCTGCACCTCGCTGAGAAGGCCAATGCTGCTAGGATGCACCTCGCTGCTGAGGTTACGGTTGGGAGGAGTTGTCGTTGCTGTCACAACCTCCTCCTCTGCCACCTCTGCCACGGTTGTTGCCGCCACGACCCCGATTGTAATTCTTCTTCCCACGACCACCATTATGATTCCGATTATGAGCATAATTGTCACGTTTGGGCTGTGGATTAGAGAAAGTAGCATCATCATTAGAGGTGTCCATTAGCAAAGCAGAATCATTACCTTCCTGTTTGGCTCAATCTTTTTGAGTTGCTTCCTCCAAATCAAGCTTGGTCTGTGCCTCCGCAAACGTAGGAAAATGATGAGTGTGTTGAATCATAGTGACAAAATTCCCATAAGCATGGGTGAGACCTTGTAACAATTTCAAAGTCATTCTTTCATCCGAAACCGTAACACCGACGTTGGCTAGTTGGTCCATGAGAGTCTTCAACCGTTGACAATACGCCTTGACATTAGGAAAATCACGAAGGTACGTATTCGTGAGTTCATTCTCGAGATGAAGAGCTCGAGTTGTCTTGTTATTTTGGAATAAATTCGTCACTTCATTCATAGCTTGGGCAGCAGTGTCATTGGGATTGATTATTTGGTTGAGAATATCAGGTGAGACCGTGCTATATATCCATTGAAGGACAAGATTGTCGAGACGAATCCATAGGGCCTTCTCCGCAAGACGCTCGGCTTCGGTTTTGGTCGAGGAGTCCGGTGCTGGCGTTTTGTCATCGGGTTTAGGAGGTAGAATATGGTCGATAACATCGTGAGCATGGGCGTGGATCAACCATAGGGTAGACCAGTTGGTGTATTGGCAGGTTTCGTGGTCTAGGATGAGAGGGATGGCATTTTTTATGTTGTTGGCGCCATGGGCAGGATGGAACTTAGAGTCTGCCATGAGTGGAGAGGAGGAAGATGAGAAAAAATTGTGAGAGGAAAAGATAATGGAAGGAGAACCTAGGGCTCTGATACCATGAAAGATGATGGAATCCCCTGTTGTACTCCTCAGTTCATCCATGATATATACAAGGTTATGAGCATGATATTAGCCTAATTACAAGGGATATCTTTGACTAATTACAAGGGATATCTTTGACAGAGAATATTTGCTTAACTAAATTAGTTAAATAATATCAATCTAATATTTAGAACATTTACAAGAATATTGTCAAAGATTATATTCTATCAGCAATCACAACCGTTTAATGATGCGCTACTTCCTAATCAAGGCCCTATATTTTTGTTAGGATTGGCATTACAAAATCAATGGTAAACTAAAGATGCCTGCACTCATTTATATGACTCTGCACGCATAGAGGTGAAGAAAGAAAAGAAAAGTAATTGCACATTGTAAATATATAATTTATAGTAATTATAGAATGTCAATACCAAATTTCAGACAGATACTTCAGGTCTGTGCTTATGAAAAAGCGGGGTTTTTATTTGGATGAATCTTTCTGGCCATCATTCCAACTAATTTGCTCTGGTTCACAGGTTTGGGATTTGTCACTTCAATTACCTTCATATTCTTGGTGGGAGTCTTTATGTCCTCATGGTTGGGGGCTTCTGTTCTTGATCTCGGAGAATGGTTCATCAAGAAAATGCCTCTAGTGAGCTACATCTATTCTGCGTCAAAGCAAATAAGTGCAGCAGTTTCACCAGGTAACCTGTCTGTACCAACACACTATATTCTAGTCTCTGATATCCAATTGATTCATGTAGCTGATATAATCTATTTTAAGGAGGGTAAATTTCGGATAACCTTTTTATTTGTACTTTCTGTAGCACTTATCTGCCTCGACTCAATTTTTTAGCATGTATCACCCTCAATTCGTGAGGGAGATGGAGTTATTTCCATTTTTCCTTCTCAAAATGTAAATCCTGGGGCGACAAATGCTAATAAAAGAGTTGAGGACTGATAAATGTTATTGAAGTTATAGAGGGGAGGGGGTTATCTACAATTATCCTTATGGATATTTACTAAGGTGCAGTATCGTTTAGATCAAACTTCTCGGGCATTTAAGGAAGTGGCGATCCTAAGGCATCCACGGATTGGTGAATATGCTATTGGCTTCATTACATCTACAGTAACTCTTCGGAAGAATACAGATGATGAGGAGCTTACCTGTGTTTATGTGCCCACTAATCACCTCTACCTTGGAGACATCTTCCTTGTGAACTCGAAAGACATTATCAGACCAAACATATCCATCAGAGAAGCACTTGGTGAGTCCTGTGACAGACTATGTGAAGCTCGCAGTAAAATTTGAGTGAATTGTTTACGAACAGGCTGGCTTGTTTGACAATAGCTTAAGAGAGACTTCTAGTTTTCAGCTTGCTGGTAAACAATCTGAGAGCTTCTGCAAGAACTACAACTCAACCTGTTTAGGTTCGTTAAGCTCAAAGTGACGCATAAGCCCTTTCCCCTTTGATTTAGTAGCATATAAACTCCCTGTACTACGGTGTTTTTGCCATTTATACTACAGAGTTTTTTATTAGCACTTACATCCCCCGAACCTCAAATAGGTTTACCTTTTTGCCGTCAACTTAGTGGGCTTTTTAGTCTTTCATTAGATTGAGAGCAAACGGAATTTATCATCACGAGATTCCCACTTGACTTCTCAACTGAACTTGGAAAATAATGTTGTCTGCAAGTTCAGAGGGTATAAGTACCGAAAAAGAAAGAAGTTTAAAAAAAAGTTAAAAGGGTATAAGAGGCTACACACTCATAGTATGGAGGTATATCTGCAATAATAAATTTGCTTTCTTTCTTTACTACTAAACCCAATTTATATGTCATTTTCTGGTTTCCTGTGTCCATTCCAGAACTTGCATTCAAGTGAACAAGCTCAAACGATCCGTGTTCAGTCTGGTGTCTAAATTTAGTTATCTTCACCCTTTATCATTTTCTATATGTTTTGTCACTTGAGAATCTTTTTCTCTGTTCTCTTGCAGAAATAATCGCTTCAGTTGGCATGTCTATCCCTCGGACCTTGTCTGTTCTGGAGCCCAGTCCTAGTCACGGAGAGCATGTTCGATTAGCAAGAAGCCCAAACATTTCGAGTACAGGGGGCTAGAGGTGTGTTATAAAAGTATCAACGCTTTTGTAATCAGTGAATTAACTGAACAACTACCAATTGTATGTATTAAAGAAACATGTAGACGCTTAAGGGTCATTATCAGCCCAATTTTGATGTCAACATTTTTGAATGCTACGTGCAGCAGAGGAACGCAACTGTTTACCTCCCCCCCCCCACCCCAACCCCAACACAAACACCCATCAAGTTTACTGTAACCGATAGCAGCTCAAAGGTTAGTCGGAAGCGTGATATGATGAAGGCAATATAGTCTTCACGTCAGAAGAAAATTTTGGTTTTCTTGCTAGAAGGACAAAAAGGAAAGCAAGAAGCTCTAATTGTATGACTTTGGCACGGATATAAGGCTGGAAGTATCTACTTTCGATCAGCATAAATGGTCATGTTTGTAGAAATGATAAAAATATTGGTAAAGTTCAGAAAATTTAAAACGGAAAGGCATTTGGATGCTTGTCGGTCGACCGCGAGCCTTGGCGCAGTCGACCGCGAGCCTTGGCGCAGTCGACCGCAAAACGTGCACGAGTACAGCGTAGTTTCTGGAGTTCTGATCGGTCGACTGCGGGGTTAGGTCCGGTCAACAGCGTAGTTTCTGGATTTTCTGGATTCTGTCGTTCTGTCCGGTCGACTGCCAGCTTTGCGTGGTCGACCGCCAGTTGGGTTTGGGCCTGGGTCTTATTTCCTGTTCTGATTTGATTTGTGTTTTGATATATATATTAAAACACGATTATAGGGTTTGGTTTATCAGAGATTTGAGATTTTACTGAGCATATTGAGAGGGAGAACTTGTGAACAAGTTGAGAGATTTGGTTTAGGGTTTATTTGAGTGATTTTGTGAGATTATAACCCTTTGTACTCTCCTTGATTTTAGTAGAATCTCCTCATCCTCTCTCCCTCTGTGGACGTAGGCAAATTGTCGAACCACGTACATCTCTGTGTTTCGTTTGATTTGTCGTATTTTGGATTGGATTGTGCTCGTGTTTGGTTTGGTTATCTTCTCCCGTGACTCGCAGACTCGTTTGGTTGTCGAGCACACTTCCGCAAAGGCGCACAACAATTGGTATCAGAGCTCAGATTTCAGATCTAGGGTTTTGACATTAGATGGAGGAAGATTCATCATGGAAGCTTGGTTTTTGGAGTTCTAGACTTCGGTGGAGATAGTGTTTAGGGTTGCCGTTGAAGATTTCGCTTTCCTCGTGTGGTTAGGAGATCTATTTTAAAATCCGTTCTAGGGTTTAGTTGGATAACTTCTAAATTCTATCAAGTTTGAATTTTCTTCTACAATTTGGAGTTTGTGAGTATGAGTGAAGAAGTTGGTGAAAGCAGCAAGATGTCGGGTACAGTTCAAGTTGATTTTCAGAATACTAAAATTAGTATGGTTAAATATGACGGTAAGATCAATTTTGGTTTGTGGATAAGCGACGTACAGAATACGCTCAATGCTTAGAATTTAGAGGAGACCATCATGGTGCATGAGAGGCCACTAAAATATGAAGAGGCGGCATGAGAAAAGATGAATAGGAAAATTTGTGGGGTGATCAGGTCTTGTTTGGAACAGGAACTGAAATATGATGTGATTGAGTTAACGTCTGCAATGAAGATGTGGGAAATTCTTAATAACAAGTACCTTACGAAGAGTGTTGAGAACAGATTACACTTGCTGGGTAGGTTATTTAGATTTCAGATGTCCAGGGGCATCTCACTAGCAGTTCATGTGAACAACTACACTAAGTTATTATCGGACTTGGTAAATGTTAATGAGAAGATATCAGATGAGTACAAGACGATTATTTTGTTGGACTCCTTACCAGATGAGGAGTATGATACATTTGTGCTTACTTTGTTGAATTGGAGATCTTCTATCAGCTATAGTGAAGTAACTAATGTTTTGATGAACTATGATTTGAGGAGAAAGGACAAGGAGACTTCCAGCGCTAGTACTTTAGGAGAGACCTTGTCGACGAGAGGTAGAAGCCTATATCTGAGAGGTGGCAATAGAGGCAGGGCAAAGTCGAGAGGCCATCACAACTTAGCAAAGAACCAATGTACATTCTACAAGGAGCAGGGACATTGGAAGAGAGACTGTTCAAAGCTTAAGGAGAAGGAGAATGACAAGAAAAAGGGCCAGAAGGCCAATGTCGTGAACGTTGCTAGAGGCAATGAATCAGATGATTCGAGCTTTTCTCTACTGATTACTCCGAAGGTAAACCACTTGCATGTATCAGATTGGATGCTTGATTCTGGCGCTACTTATCATGTCACTCCTAGGCGAGATTGGTTTGCATCATTTGAGAGACTCGATGGGGGTGTTGTTATCATAGGAAACGATCAATCTTGTGGCATTTGTGGGATAGGTACCATGAGGATTCGAATGTATGATGAAGTAGTCCGTGAATTGAAGAATGTGAGATTTGTTCCTTACCTGAAGAAGAATCTTATCTCAGTTGGAGCTTTGGAGACGAATGGATTCAAGGTGACCTTTGAGGATGCTGTAGCAAAGATTACTAAGGGATCTTTAATGGTGATGAAGGAAGTCCGTAGTCGGCACTTATATTATCAGAAGAGGAGCATCAAGATTAGCCAGGTAGCTTCAGCTATTTTAGGGGCGGACATGAGCAGACTTTGGTACTACAGGTTGGAGCACATAGGAGAGAAGTCACTACAGGCGTTGTGCAAGCATGGACTATTGAAAGGAGCCAAGAGTGAAAAGGTTGAGTTCTGTGAGCACTGTGTAATTGGCAAGAAGACGAAGGTGAAGTTCGGGATTGTCATTCATAGGACGAGGGGTATCCTGGATTACATGCACACAGACATTTGGGGTCCCACCAACACTGCATCACTTGGTGGTCGACATTAATTCATCACATTCGTTGATTACTATTTTAGGTGTTGTTGGGTGTACACCATGGCAAAGAAGAGTGAAGTCCTAGATATATTTGTGGAGTGGAAGAAGAGGTTGGAAATACATACTGGGAGAAAGATCAAGACTTTGTGATCCGACAACGGTGTTGAATACACTTCAGACCCCTTTCGGTAGCTATGTCGAGATGAAGGCATAGAGAGACACTTCATAGTTAGTCATACACCACAGCAGAATGGGGGTGGCAGAGAGGTTAAATCGGTCTTTACTGAAGAAGATCCGATGTTTGTTAGCGCATAGTGGTTTGGAGAAAATCTTTTGGGCTGAGACACTTTCATATGCGAGCCACCTCATTAACAGGCTGCCATCATCTGCGATTGAGGGGAAAACCCCAATGAAGATGTGGTCGGGAGAGCCAGCACATGACTATGACCAGCTCAAGGTATTTGGGTGTCATGCATACTATCATGTTAAGACTTCTAAGTTAGAACCTTGAGCTAAGAAGACTATATTTGTAGGATTCAAGCGTGGTGTCAAGGGATACAAGCTATAGGATCCAGTTTATAGGAAGATTATGCTGAGTAGAGACGTCACATTCGATGATACTTCTATCTTGAAGCTTCCCAGCTCTCATCAGGTGGAGAGTAACCCGACGAAGGAGATATCACAGATGGTGCAGATCGATGCAGCTCTATATTATCCAGATGGTACAGTATCTATTAGACTACCGACTGAGGTGACGTCAGGCGAGCACGACGACGATGACGAGGATACGGATACAAATGTGCATAATCAGGGACTGACGGCTTAGGTTCAGGATTCTATTACGGTTCGGAGATAGATGAGAGACATACATATACCAGCACGGTATACCGATACAATAGTTACATATGCACTTCCGATGGAGAGTATCGATGAGTTGGTGCCTACTACATTTAGAGAGGCCGAGCAGAGTTCGAAGACTGATTCGTGACAGGTAGCTATGCAGGAGGAGATGGAGTCTCTTCACAAGAATGATATATGGGAGCTTGTTGAGCTTCCAAAGGGGAGGAAGACGATTGGTTGCAAGTAGGTATACACGAAGAATGAGGGCATTGAAGACACTCCAGTAAGGTTCAAGGTTAGGTTGGTTGCGAAGGGCTATGCATAGGAGGAAGATATTGATTATAATGAGATTTTCTCTCCAGTGATAAAGCACTGTTCAATTTGGATTTTGCTAGATTTGGTGGCACAATATGGATTGGAGTTAGATCAGTTGGATATGAAGACGGTATTTCTTCATGGTGATCTTGATGAAAATATATATATATGACCCAGTCATTAGGATTCCGAGCTGCAGGGAAGGAAAAGTTGGTTTGTAGGTTGAATAAATCACTATACGGTTTAAAGCAGTCTCCTCGACAATGATATAGGCGATTCGATGGATTTATGATCGGTTATTTATACATTCGGAGCCAGTTTGATCCTTGCATGTATTTTCGCAAGTTGAAAGGAGGTGCATATATTTATTTGTTACTTTATGTCGATGACATGTTGGTTGCCTTTACTTCCAGATCTGCTATAGATGAGTTGAAGGAACAGCTTTCAAATGAGTTTAACATGAAAGATTTGGGTGAGGCAAAGTGTATTTTAGGAATGGAGATCGATAGAAACAAAGAGAATTGCAGAATTTGTTTAACACATGTGGCTTATTTGAAGAAGGTTCTACAGCGGTTTAATATTAGCATGGATACGAAGCCAGTCAGTGTACCTTTGGGAGCCCATTTGAAGCTTTCAGCTGACCGTTCATCAAAGATAGTTGAAGATAGAGAGTTGATGTCAAAAACTCTATATGCGAGCACGGTTGGGAGCTTGATGTACGCAATGGTATGTACGAGGCCGGATTTATCACAGGCGGTGAGCATGGTTTCGAGATACATGCACGATCTAGGAGTGGGTCATTGGGACGTCGTGAGATGGATTTTAAGGTACGTTCGTGGTACCCTCAATTTTGATCTAGTTTTTGAGTGGGACGCTAGAGGTGGGCAGTTGTGCATTGGCTATATTGATTCGGATTATGGTAGGGACTTGGATAAGCGTCGATCTATGACAGGGTATGTGTTCACTTTGACCCGTGTGTCGGTGTGTTGGAGGTGCACCTTACAGTCTAGGATGGCTTTGTCGACGATGGAGGTAGAGTATATGGTAATTACAGAGGCTGTGAAGGAGGCATTTAGCTTCGAGGACTT